CTGGAGGTCATAGGACAATTTGGGGGAGTTGGTTCTCTCCTACCATGTGGGTCCTGGGGATCAAACTCAGGTCATCCAGCTTGGTGGCAAGGATCATTTAACCCTCTGAACCATTTCACCACTCCTTCACCTTATTTTTTGTGACAGGGTCACTGAACCTGGAGTGTATCTTTTCAGCTAGACTGACTAGCCAGCAAGCCCCTGGGATCCACCTTTCTCCACTCCTATACCCCAGCACTGGGGTTATAGACCTGTGCTGCCACAGCCAGCTTTTATATGGGTGATGGGAATCCAAAGCCAGGTCTTCATGCTTGAGTGGCAAGCACTTTACCCATTGACTCATCTCCCCTACCCTGTACCACCTTTTTAATCTATCTCTTGGTAGACATCTAGGTTGTTTCCATTTCCTAACTATTGTGAATAGAGCTGCAGTAAACATTGATATGTAGGTATCTCCATGGTATGCTGACTTAGAATCCTTTAAGTATGCACCTAGGATTGGGATGGCTGATTCATATGCTGGTTTTGTTTTTATGTTTTTGAGTAACTTCCACATTGATTTCAATAATAGTTGTACTAGTTTATACTCCCACCAGTAGTGAATAAGGATTCCTTTTTCTCTACATCCTCACTATCATTTGTTTTCATGATGCTAGCCATTCTGACTGGAGTGAGATAAAACCTCATAGCAGTTTTAATTTACATTTCCGTGATTGCAAAGAATGTTGAACACTTTTTCAAATATTTATTGGCCAAGTATATTTCTTCAAGAAATATCTATTAAATTCATTAAAGGCTGTTAATTTTGACCACATAAAAATATATTCATGGGAAGCTGGAGAGATGACTCATCGCCCCCTGGCCTCCACATGTTTCTGCATGGGCAAGTGCACCATTATACACAGGTGCACATGATACAACACCCACAACTACACACACATACACACACACACAGAGAGAGAGAGAGAGAGAGAGAGAGAGAGAGAACATATTAAATGATTCTGTTTATAGGAAATGTTTAGAATAGGCAAGTCTATAGAAACAGATTTGTGGCTACCTAGGACCACTGTGGGTGTGGGATCCAAATGGGGTGTGACTGTTAAGAGATGCATGGGATCTTACTGGGCTAAGGTTTCAAAATTGCTGGTGGTGATAGAAACATGCTCTGAATATACTAACAAGCATTGAACTATATAAACAGGTAAATTATGTGGTATTGAATTGTATCTCAATAAAATCATGGAGAGAAATCCAGAACTTTTACATGATATAAAGCACCAGAAGCAATGTCAGACAACAGCACACAACTGGAAAAAATTTATGGTAAATATTACAGACTTTTTTCCTCAGTCTGTAAGAAAGTCCTGAAAGTCAGTAAGAAACAGGACAATTGCTCAGTTGGAAAATGAACAAAAGTTACGAAAAGGAAATATTATAAATACATTCATGAACTATGAGATGATCCTGCCTCCCCCAGGACAATGAAAATGTATATTAAAAGTATTTTGAGCAGGGCATGATGGTAGACGACTTTAATCCCAGCACTTGGGAGGTAGAGGCAGGTAGATCTCTCTCAGGCCAGCCAGGGCTGTGGTGTGACACTCCATCCTCAAACAAAACAAAACAAGACAAATAAAAACCAAATCAAACAACAACAAAAATGTGTATTGAAACTGGGCTTGGTGGCACATGCCTATAATCCCAGCACTCTGGAAATGAGGCAGGAGGATTATGAGTTTGAGGCCAGTCCAGGCTACCCAGAAAGACCCTGTCTAAAATCAGCAACAGCAACAAAGTACATGTATAATTCTTTGAGAATTTCATAGACATATACAATGCATTTGGATTATATCTACCCTCTATTCCTTCACTTTAACACCAATGAGACCCCCTCCCCCAACATATTCCCTTTCCAATTTCATGTTCTCTTATTTTTTAAAAAATTTATTTTATAGCCGGGCGTAGTGGTGCACCCCTTTAGTCCCAGCACTCGGGTGGCTCTCTGTGAGTTCAAGGCCAGCCTGGTCTACATAGTGGGTTCCAGGCCAGCTGGGGCTACAGGGAAACCTATCTCAAAAAGACCAAAAAAATTTTTTATTTTGTGTGTATAAGTGTTTTGCCTGCATGTATGTAGGTGCACCCATGCATGCAATGCCCATACAGGCCAAAAGAGGGCGTTAGGTCCCTAGAACAGGAGTCACAGATGGGTGTTAGCTGCTATGTGCGTACTAGGAACCAAACCCAGGTTCTCTGCAACAGTAGCCAGTGCTCTTAACCACTGAGAGATCTCTCCAACCGTGGTTCCTCTATCTTTTAACATGTAGCATCAGTGCTTCGTACTTTGGCATTAAAAAGGAATATGATTCCATTGTACGGATATACTACCTCTTATTCATCTACTCATGGGTTGATGGTCATTTGTGCTCTTTCTGCCTCTTGGCTTTTATAAATAATGTGATGAATTGTCATGTACAAGTTTTTGTTTATCTTAGATAAAGTCCTAGGAGTGGAATTACTTTAACCTTTTGAAAAACTTTAATCTGTTTTCCAAAGCAGCTACCCTGTCTTACATTCCCAATAGTAGTATATGAGAATTCCAGTTTCTCTACATTTGCTCTGTATCCTCACCAACCCTTGTTACCATCTTCTTTTCTATTTTTGTAATGCTGGGAATCAAACCCAGAACCTCTTGTACGCTAGGAAAGTGCTTTTCCACGGAGCTACATCCTATGCCTTTGTTACTGCCTTTTAAAGAAAAAATAATGGTAGTGGGTAAGAAGTAGTGTCTCGTTACTGTTTTATTTGCATTTTCTCCAATGGCTAATGATTTTGATTGTGTGTGTGTGTGTATGTGTGTGTGTGAGTTTTTTGAGGGTTTTGGACCTTTTCATTGGAGATAGGGTCTCATGTAGCTCAAGGTGGCCTGCATCTCACTATATAGCCAAGGTTGACATTGGACTTTTGATCTACTGCCTCCATCTCCTGAATGCTAAGTTTAATGGTCTGCATCACCATATCCCATTGATGCAGTGCTGCAGATCAAACACAGGGCTTTGTGTATGCTAGGCTAGGACTTCTCCAACTGAGCTACATTCCAAGGCTCTTTTTCAGTCAGTTGTAAATCTTTATTTGCAGTTTACACAAGAGTCATATCTTTATGTAAACTTTTAATTTTACTATTCAGTTTTAAGAGTTCTATATTTCAGAAACAAATCTCTTCCCATACATGAGTTGAAATTATTTTTCCTTTCTGTGTGTTGTCTTTACTTTTCATGTGTGTGGCACAAGAAATCTATAATTCTAGCTTCAGGCCTCCAAGGGTACTTCTCACATGCACATAATTAAAAATAAAATTTATCTAAAAAATGAAATTACATTTCCAGGAAAATGAATGAATCTTGGATATTATTATGTTATTATTATGTGAAATAAGCCAGACTTTGAAAGACAGCTACTAGGAATTTTCCCTCATATGTAGAACCTAGATTTAAAATTATATATATTTGTGCATATGTATGTATATTTGTGTGTACATCATGAAATAGAGAGGGCATCATAAGAGGGGCAGAAGAGAAAGGGGATGGGGAAGAATGGGTAATGGAATAAGCGGGGGCGGGAGGACTATCTGGGGGAAAGGAAGTGCATCAGCCAGAGGGACAGGAGGCATAGGGAAAAGCAGTGAGGGAGGAGAGCGAATGAGAAAAACCATGATACATAGGTAAGAAAATACCATAATGAAGCTCATTAATTTGTGTGCTGTCTTAAAAAGTTAAATAACAAAAGATTTCCCTCCCTTCAGAAAAAAAAAACTGATAACAATTATCTCTGTTTAGAAAGAATTAGGAACGTGTGAGACATGAAAGGAAATTGCATTGTCTACCTTTTTTATTTTATTTTGACTCAAATGAAGATATTCATTATATCAAACAAAAATATCAAAATAACAAAATATCAAAATTAAGAGCAAACCTAGAATTCTGTCAACACACTGAGCACAGCAGTCAGCATGGCCTCAAAAGGACAACGCAGCTTGATTTTGATAAGATACTATATACATATGGGAGAAAAATATAGTAAAAAAGAATGTGCTGTTTGGGTATAAATTGGAACAGCCATTGAAGAAAAGTTTAGTGGTACATGCCTTAAGGCCTTAAGAACTTAAGCTGTTGCCGGGAGTGGTGGTGCACACCTTTAATCCCAGCACTGGGGAGGCAGAGGCAGGTGGATCTCTGTGAGTTCAAGGCCAGCCTGGTCTACATAGTGAATTCTGGGATAGCTGGGGCTACAGGGAGACCCTGTCTCAAAAAAAAAAAAGGACTTAAGCTGTGATATTTGATAAGTTAGGTATATTTGGTTTGTGTGTGTGTGTGTGTGTGTGTGTGTGTGTGTGTGTGTGCGTGTGCTGGGGCTCATAGTAATTTGTGGATACTAATCATGTATTCTAATTCAAGATTGAGCATACCCCCAGCTTATTAAATGAATTTTATGTGTGTGCATGCACACGTGTGTGGTTGTGGACACACATGGGTAGAGGCCAAAGGACAGTTTCAGAGGAACCATCCATCTTGTTGTTTGAGATAGGATCTCTAACTGGCCTGGGTTTCACTTAGTAGGCTAGGTTGGCTGGCTAGTGAGCCCCAGGGATCCACCTGTCTCTGCTTCTCTCGTAATAGATTTTAAGCATGTGTCAACACACTTGGCATTTTTCTGTGGATTCTGGGGCTCAAAATCAGGTTTTTGCCAGTGAAGCTGTCCCCCCAGTCCCTTAGCTGCATTTTAATTTCATATTTTCAGCTTATAATGGCTTTGTTGGGCCATAAGTTGAGGAGCTTCTGTACTCCAGTGAGGAAGATAGAGAAGTAAAATAGCAATATGAACTATGAGCAGTGGTTATGAGAAACATGGGGCTGTGAGAATGCAGAGGAAGGACTTCCATTTTAAATAATTGCCTTCCCATAGTTGCTTCTGTTTCTGTGACCTGATATTCTATATTTCTACAGGCTGTGTTGTCCTCCAAACTCTGCTAAGAAGCTTCTAGGAGAGCCTTTTGTCCTGAGACAAGCTGTACCTGTGGATTTGTTTCCCCACACTCTACACTGTGAGCTGGTCCTCCTCTTCACTCGATAAGCAGCCTCCTAGAAGACTACAGGCTGTTTGTTAAGGCGGAAGTTTCAGAAACGTCCAGGTTTGTCATATTTCTGCATTGCAGACCCTGAGAAGACAGTCTTTGAATCATGAACAGGAAGAATATCGCAAGCCTCCTTTTTTGAGTCAGATTGAACCTTAGCTGTCATAGTCCCTTGGGATTATTCGAATTTGCCGAGTTTTGGTACTCCCAACTCTTTGAACCTGGATTTGTGCTGCTTTTTCCTTTTGCCATTTACTTAGCATCGTCTCAATTAATAATCTTGTACCCTCCATCTTATTTCTGCTTATATTTGGGGGCTAACTGCTTTTTTCACAGCTGGTAATAATGTTCGGGGTCCAAAAAATTCCCTGAATTGACCACTCAGACACTGAGACTCAGGAGAACTTAACTGCTTTATTGAAACCTACTGGCCAGGGACGTAGGCAGGCTCAGGAGCTACACTGCAACTCAGAGCCGTGGAAATGCAGGGCTTTTAAAAAAAAGCACAAAAACTGTAGGGCAGGGGATTTCTATAGTAACCATAAACAGAAGAACCAGGAAAGGATTTGAACAATGGAGGGGATTTCCAGAGTCAGGCGGAGGGCAGCTCTTTCTCAGAGGACAGGGAGGGGGTCTGAGGGGCAGGCTACTTCAATAATTTCATATTGAATGGGGTCTGTATATTTGCTCTGGGATTTTTTTTTTTGGTCTTTTGTGACAGGGTCTTGTCCTGGAACTCACTATGTAGTCCAGGCTGGCCTTGAACTCACAGATATCCTCCTGCCTCTGCCTCCCGAGTGCTGGGATTAAAGGCGTGCATCACCACACCCAGCTTGCTCTGGGATTTTAACACTTGCAATTTATTTTTTTGAGATAGCATCTCACCCAGCACAGGCTTGCCTTCGGCTCACCATGGAGCTGAAGATGACACTGGACTTCTGATCCTCCTACTTCCACTTCATGAGTGTAGGGATAACATGCATATGCCACCATACCCACTTCTATGCAGTGCTGGGGATCAAAGCCAAGGTTTCACATATGACAGGCAAGCAATCTACCAAGTGATCTACATCCCTAGCCCCTTTCAGATGTTTTTAAGAACTGGAACCAAGTTGAGCTTTATACAAAGCAGAGCAAGAGTGTGGGGAGATGGCTTAGTAGGGTAAAATGCTTATTGTACAAGTGCAAGAACTTGAGTTTGGATCCCTAGCACTCACATGAAACACTGACCATAGTGGCACAAACATGCATAGGGACAGGGACAAACACACACACACACACACACACACACACACACACAGAGAGAGAGAGAGAGTGAGAGAGAGAGAGAGAGAGAGAAAGAGAGAGCAAGAGTGAGCAGAGAATGTTATGAAATGATTACTGGGTAGCTTTGAGGCTTCGAGAATGCCCTTGAAGATATGGTTATCTCTGGGGCTAGATAGATGGCTCAGCAGTTAAGAGTGCATACTGCTCTTGCAGAGGACCAGCGGTCAATTCCTGGTACCCACATCATGTGACTTACAACTTCCAGTTCCAGAGGATCCTATGTCCTCTTCTGGCTTTCACTGCACTCAAATGCACAAACCCATGCTCACACACACACATAATACACATAATTAAAAAAAAACCCACCAGGTGTGGTGGTGCACACTTTAATCCCAGTACTCTGGAGGCAAGGGTAGGCAGATCTCTAGGAGATTGACTCCAGCCTGGTCTACATAGTGATTTCCAGGCCAGCTGGGGTTACATAATGAGACCCTGTCTTGAAAACAAACAGAGATAAAAAAAAAACAAAAAACTAAAAGACTATGGGGGCTGGAAAGATGACTCAGTGGTTATGATGTCTACATATAATGCCTGATAGAATAGTCAAGGAAAATAAGAATTGCAATCCTTGTTTTCTCTCTCTTTGTGCATCTATACCAATTTGCAGGATGTTTGCTGACAGGCTTTGTGGTTGGAGTGCTGGCAGTCACCCCGTATTGGCCACCCAGTGCCTATGGCTCCTCTTTCTATTTCCCTCAGGGGAGACTTCTGCAGAGACTTTCAGACAGGAGATTTTTTTTAAACATTTTTATTCTTTTCTAAATTTATAATAATTTGTGTGATTTTGAGACTTTACTGATAGCCAATCAGTATGTAAATTTTTTCTCACTGTAACCCAATGCCTAAGATATAAAAGATATGTGCTACTTCTGTTCAGGATCCAGATTTTGGGGCTTGAGCCTGCCAGACTAGGCTGCAGCCTAAAAAAAAAATACCTGCTTCCTATACACTCCCAGTACCCTGCCTGATCTTTCCTTCTACAGTTCACAGTATGTGCTGCTCTTGTAGAGGACCTGGGTTCAGTTCCCAGGACCGACATGGTAGCTAACAACTGCTTAGAACTCCAGTTCCAGGGTATACAAAGCCTTGATGCCTTCTTCTGACCTCCATGGGAATTGTATAACATGGGTGCACTTATGTACATACAGGCAAAACATTCATACAAGTAAGAACATTTTTTAAATTAAAAAAAAAAACTAAAAAAGAAAATGTGGTTGTCTCTAGGAACAATAGTATCATTTATCTCTTACCTATAGAAAGAGAATTGGTCATTAGAGAGACCCTCAGGGTTAGGGAATTCTCAAAGGAGAGACTGAATATCTAGAATTGCACTATGTACTATGGGGAAGAAAGCACCAGAATCCTATGGTAATCCAGATGTACTATAAGAGAGTATATATTGAAGCTGACTGTATTCACCCTTCTCTAGTATATGATTTTTTTTTCAACTCTGGAATTGTCCTTGGATACTTGCCTAATGATTTAGATTGTTTTGAATATTTTTTTAAGATAATTAAAAAAACTACTACTGAAATAAAATAAAATTAATTTAGAAAAGAAAAAAATAATTAAAACTTAGGATCTCATGCATGAATACTGTATTGATGATATTTCTACTCCTCAGTCTCCCCTATCCAGTTTCTTCCATCACCTCACTCCCTCTCAATTTCATGGCTGTTGCTTCTTTAATAATTTAACAATTATAAAAAATAATAATTTAAACTACTACTGAAATAAAATAAAATTAATTTAGAAAAGAAAAAAATAATTAAAACTTAGGATCTCATGCATGAATACTGTATTGATGATATTTCTACTCCTCAGTCTCCCCTATCCAGTTTCTTCCATCACCTCACTCCCTCTCAATTTCATGGCTGTTGCTTCTTTAATAATTTAACAATTATAAAAAATAATAATTTAACAATTATATATATATAAATAACCTACTGAGTCCATCTAGTATTGCTTGTATGTATGTGTAGAAGATGTAGAAGTTAGCAAGCATTGCCAGACTTCAGTTTTGTTTCTCCTTAGTCCTTAATGCCTCTAATTACCTGGCTTCTCTAAAGAATGTAGCTGTTAAAACTTGTGGGTATACATGATGGGTATTTTTTAATTTTATTTCTTACTGAATTTTTGAGATTTTCATACAATGTAGTTTGATGGTATTTAGCTCTCCTCCCCTGGCCACACCTCCCCCCACTAATTTTTGTTCTAAATGCCCTTCCGTGTGGGTCCATCCAGCTGTAAAGCCTCATAAACAACGACTGGCCCAGCAAATAATTGCTATTGGTTCAGTAGTGATACTTTTATCTTGAGAATGATCAACTGCTGTCTAATTGGAATTAGACTCCCTACTTAATGGGAGTGAACTCATGGGTGGTACTATTAACCCAGCCAAATACGAATGGCTCGAGATCATAGGTTCTAGAGAAAAAGAAAAACCTACTTTTGCCACGTCCCTGGAGCAATGTAATTTCTTACTTCATTCTAAATATGCATCCTCATAGTTACAGACCATTGTACCTTTCATCTCTCATCAAAGAAGCTTCTTTTTGCAACAGATGGAGACTATTACAGAATTCCAAAACTGGTCACACGCAGAGAATAAGTGTCTGTGAGATGCTTAGCCTAAGTGACACATCTTCAGTGCAACCTCTACACATAGGATGAATGCATCTCTCAACTTTCACCAGAGAAGTTTCCTTATGCAGCAGATGGTGATTAACACAGAAACCCACAATTGGCCAATGTGTAGAGAACAAGAGGCTACAGAGAGCTTATCCCTGAAAAGGACACCTATTTCAAAACTGCCTCCCAAGGCTCAGGAATCATTGTGGAAGAGGAGGGGGAAGATTGTAAAAGCCAGAGGGGGTGAATGAACACAAGGAAACAAAGTCTTCCAGACAGCTGGTCATTTACTCATATGAACTCACAGCAATGGTGACAGCATGCGTAAGTCCCATGAAAGCTCAAACCGGACAAAATCCCAGTCTAGTCATGAGGAAGTGGGTATGAAATCCCAACCCAATCTAAGGGACTTTTGGCAATTTATGGCTACTGAAATGGGAAGGACACTGCATTTATTTTTATTTTATGTGTATGAGTATTTTTTCTGCATGCATTAGGTATGTGCAGTACCATGTATGTGCAGTACCCAGAGAGGTCAGAAGATGGTGTTGGATGCCCTGGAACTGGAGTTATAGACAGTTGTTAGCGGCCATTTGGGTGCTGGGAAATGATGGACCTGTTTAAATAAAGGGTCATATGTAGTCCCAGGTTGGCCTCCTAGTTACTGTGTAGCTAAGAATGACCTTGAGCTTCTGATATTCCTCCTGCCTCTGCCTCCTGGGTTCTGCTTTACTGCTTCAATTACAGGTGTATGCAAATATACCCAGGTTTAATGCCATGATGGAGAATTGACCCCAGGGCTCTGTGTGTGCTAAGCAAACACTAACAAAAGAGGTATATCCCCAGGTAGCTGGCGTCAAGCTCCTTATGTAGCTAAGGCTGGCCTTTACCTCCCAAATGCTGGGACTGTGGGTGTGTGCCACCTCTCCAGGCTAATGTGCATTCTTTTGTGAGATGGCCAGTCAGGTGCAGCAACCGGAAGACACACAAAGTTTAAGAACACAACCCATTATATAGATACAGTCCTAGAGGTAGGAGGAATGCCACATGATTCAGGTCCAAATAGGGAAGACACCAATGTGATCAGGAGGCAGAAGGCAGATAGGAGGGAAAGGTTTGATGCCGGGCGTGGTGACATGCTCCTTTAATCCCAGCCCTCGGGAGGCAGAGGCAGGTGGATCTCTGGTAGATCAAGGACACCCTGGTTCCAGGCGGGCTGTGACTAGGGAGACCCTGTCCAACAACAACAACAAAACCAGAAAGGAAAGGTTTGGGCCATGCCCTTTTTTAGGGTTTCCTCAGGAAAGGCAGGGCAAGGTAAAAAGTTTATGACTATCTAGAGTCTGAGCAGTTTTGGCAGGCTTTGAGCTATAGGGGAGATCTCTAGTTGGTACCTGGCCTGATGATACTTAAGGTAGAGGAATATTGCCTCCTGGAGTATACAGGGCAGTTAGAGGATGAGATATGACTCTGAATTGGTTGTTTTGTTCATGAAGGGCATTGTAGTTTGGATTTGAAATGTTCTCTGAAGGCCCAAGTGTTAAAAGATTATTGTCAGGCTATGCACTGTTGGGAGGTAGTGGGGCCTTCAGGTGGTAGGGCCTAATGAAAGAAAGATCATTATTAGCAGTATGCCTGTGAAAGGGATATTGTGATCCCTACCTTTTCCTCTGTCTCTCTCTACTTGCTGGCTGCCCCTGGAGCTGATCAGCTTTTTTCCACCATGTGCTTTCTGC